TTCTTTGAGATGTTGCGCCTTCATACGAGAGGTTCTTCAGTTCTACCTGATGCAGTGCTTCAGGTGTTTCCTCTCACCCTCAGTCACATGACGACGGACCCGCTGACCACCTCGAGGCCTGTGAGTTTGGGTCAGTGGTCAGTCATGTGATTTGGAGGTGAGAACACCTGGAACTTCCCATCAGAACTGAGGAACCTCCTGGATGAAGCTGAAACGTCTTCAAGAACCAAAAACAGAAGTCCAGCTGCTCTGAGGATCACCATGAAGGAGCTGCTCACTCTGATGATCCTGAAGTGTTTCTTGCTGTAGATTCTGAACTTCGTGGATCCTTTTTGATCAGGATCATCCAGGACGTAGTTACACTTGGAGTCTCGTCCGAACAGGTACTGGTCCTCTATGCAGTCTGCGAACACACAAACATGAAGCAGCAGCTCTCAGATCAGGCGGGTTTCAGTGCCACGGTTCAGGATAGCCTAATGCTAGCAGCGCTGGTGCTAGCACTAGTGTGTCAGCAGGTTCTGATCATTACCGTGGCTCCTGAAGCCGCGGGCCATCGGCAGCAGCCGGCCCCAGGGTTGTGGTTCTGGCTCCTCGGGGACGGACGGCAGGGTGACAGGGAGGGTGTCCACGCTGCTCAGAGTCCCAGAACCGCTGGAGGACTGACTGCCGGACGTCGGCCCGCTGGACGAGCTGGAGCCGGGCTGGGACTTGGGCTGGGACGGGGACAGGGTGGACTGGGTGGCAGATTGGGTGGACTGGGCCTGCGACGGGGACAGGGTGGACTGGGCTTGGGACTGCTCCCCATGTGGAACCTCTTCAGACATTCTCCAGCTCTGCTGACACATCAGAAGATGATCAGAAGTTACAGCATACTGGTCCTTGTAGACATCTGCGCACCAAAGCCCATTTCAAAACTGTTCAACTAAAGGACATGGTTACCTGTCAACAATAAAAACATAGAAAACTAACTTAAAACATATTTTATCATTCTGATGTCCACTCTTTAAATCGGCACAAATTTAACATTAAATTACCCACAAGGTTCCAAGATAGAGCTCAGACACCATAACGTGTCTGTAGGGAAACACAGCAACGTTAAATTAGACGAAATTTAAATGGACTTTGGCATACAGCTTTGAAGCTGCTGGTTGACTAACCCCGCCCACCAGCGGCTCGTGGAAGCTCGATTTCAGAAGAGTTTGTTTATCTGTCAACAGCTCGACCCTGCTGACGGTCCACCGGACAAAGCGGCTCACAGCTGGACCTGAGGAACACACGGCCATCTTAAATTAGACCATTTTCAAACGGAGTTCGGTATCAGTCGGAGCTGCAGCCGGGGACCGACCCGACACCGGAACCAGTCCAGCACCGTGCACTGACCACGCCCACCGCTTGTCAATCACAGCCAAACCCAACATGAACCAGAAACGCCACCGGTTTCAGCCCGGATCCAGCTCCGCTCTCAGCCCGCCGAACTGCTTCATATCACAGCCGGAACGAGGTGGACCGGACCGGACCGGACCGGACCGGGGCGCGCCGGTACACCGGCCTCGGGGCTCCACTCACCGGGCTGAGCGGAGCCGGCTCTCCTGCGAGTCTCCGCTGCTCGAACCGAACCACTGACGAGGCACGTGTGGCACTGGTTTTACCGGGAGTCTGCGGGAAGTGCATTTCCTGTTTTCCTCTGACGTCATGTGGCCGCGGCAGCCAATAAGAGGCCGGACGCCGGGTGACGTAGATGGGCAGCTGTCAGGAGTAGTTCCGGGTCTGGTTCGGGCTGCAGAGGAGACTCGGCGGGACCAACGGATCGATACAATGATCAATAAGTGACCGAGGGGCAGCTGTCCAGCAGAACCAGCGGAACCAGCGGAACCAGCGGAAGCAGCGGAAGCAGCGGGAGCAGCATGTCCTCCCAGCGCGGCGGGAAGACGCTGATCATCGCAGACGGTGAGTCCTGCAGAGAAACAGTGAAGTGAGGGCAAAGTTCAGGAGATGTCACTGCGTTTCATTGGAAGGTTCTGATCTCTGCTCCACCTGTGAGAAGACAGAAACTCAGACATGAAGCAGAACACAGGACACGGACGGGACCAGAAGTCCGGGCAGAACCGCAGATAAAGGATGCCAGTAAACAACCAGAAACACAAAACAGATGGAAAAAGGCTGAAAGAGACACAAAGCACATAGAAGCAGACAGGATATGAAACACTGACACGTTCACACAGCATCGGCCCAAACAGAACCAAGCAGAGAAAAGAGACAAAAACGCCACAAAATAGACACAAAACTCATAAATATATGAAAAACAACAACCAAAAAGCCTCAGAAAGTACCGACAATAGACACACAACTGAGGCTAAACAACCACAAACGCCTGACGCTACGTGCTCCCTTCCCTGATCCATCAGCCCACCAGAACCACTCATCACTGCAAAACGGACCGGCTCACAGAGACGGTTCCTCTGCAGCGCCACAAATATTCACAGTGACAATAAAGACAAGAGTTAAACAGAAGCTGGAGCAAAGCTGCTCACAGAGACTCTCTGGATCTGGAGGGTTTTCATGGACACGTCTGTCGGACATGAGTTTGGTTCTGGTTCAGGTTCATCTCTTTAATTCAGAACCCTGTTGGGTTCGTTTGTCTCCTGAAGCTGCTGCTTTAATGTTGTGTGTGAATGGACTTTGTCTCGCTCCAGACGAGGACGCCGAGGAGCTCAACCCGTTCTCCTTCAAAGAGTTTCTACGATGGAAGAAACAGGATCCAGACCAGGACCAGGATCCAGACCAGGACCAGGATCCAGACCAGCAGCAGACACATGGGAAGGTAAACAAGTGTGACAGGACAGCTGCTGTTTTCTGTCTGTGTCACTGTGT